GCACCACCTAGGCTCTTCCTGCTGTTGCTTCTTCCCTAATTTCTCCCTTTGTTTCCTTGTCTCAGCATTAATTAACATGCTCTCAAACCCATCTGAACTGGTATTGCGAAATCTTTTCGACACGAAGTCAAGAACCCACACATTACAGGCTGGCCTGAGGCAGACCTGCTCCGGGCCAGCCCCTGTCCAGTGACAGTCCTTGTCCAGAGCTGGACTCAGGGCTAAAGGATGGGGTGCGGGTGCTGGTGGTGGCAGCGTCCACAGGGCAGGTCCCCCAGAGCCAACAACACATTCAATGATTCAATTTTTTCCCAACTTTGTTTAAACTAAAATTTAGTTGACTAGGTTAGTCTTATGAGCAGAGTTAATCCAACCCTTGGTCCACCCCGAAGTTCTGGGGCCTGGAGAGCCGACCACACCCAAATACCCTCTTTTCCCTCCAGGGCAGGGGAAGGGGCTGCACCGGGGGTCCCCTTCTATGCGAGTTCCATTTGGGAACCACAGCCGTGGAATCATAACAGTGTCTGACATCCGTGTACTTGATCAGTCATCACTCAGCCACACAGTGAGACCACAAGGGGGATAAGTCACAGGGGCTTCATCACTCAGCCACACAGTGAGACCACAGGAGGGACAAGTCACAGGGGCTTCATATGAGAACCAGATGCCTCAGTATCTGGGTCAATAGAAGGGACTTATTAAGTAGTAGTGATAAAAACATCCCATGTGCATGGTCTATAAACCAAGTAAGATGGAAACTACTTACCAATGAGTCACACTGATAGAAGGTACATTTATAAAACATACCCCAAACTGTAATTCTGTCAGGCCTTCATTTGAAATGCTATGTGATCACTTACATAATAAAATAAAATCAAGGAAAAACATATTTTAGAAAACAGAACGACACTCTTGCTGTGCTTCTGGATTATTTTATCACACAGATCAGCAACAAAATATTGTGCTTGCTCCCCTACGAACAGAATGACGCAGAAGGACCCCACAGAGTCGGGTCCAAGTCACCTGTAGTTGCAGACGTTGGCTGAGAATCATTATCTAAGTAGTCTCCGTGTGAGCCACTGAACAACCACTTAGGAAAAAACTAAAAGAGAAACTGTCAGTAGAGAGTAGCGTCTGGCGGTGGCAGCCTCACCAGACAGCAGGGCGACCGGTGCTGGGACTCCCTGACATGGCCGCCCGTGCAGCTGTGACTCTGCGGCCTTGTGATGCGGTCCCTCTAGAAGCCACCGTCCGGTGGGGAGGATGTGGGAATGCCAGGGCTAACGTTGGACGGGAACTGGGCTGTGGAAGGGAGTTCATGTGCAGGGAAGGGTTTGCATCCTTGGTACCTGACTGGATATGGGGACCTTGTGTGGGAACTGCTTCCCCCTCCTGACTCGTAGGACAGAGGCCTGTAAACCCACCCTTCCACAGCGCCGAGCGGCTGTGCTGAGTGGGGCCCACAGAGGTTGTGAATTTGGAAGTCTAGAGCATCCTCTGAACAAAAAGGGTTAGCACTCTGATGAATGCCATGTGAGACTGTACAGTACTTGGCCCTGTGTGGAGTAGATGGCCTCAGGGCAAAAGTTGGTGAGCGCCACCCAGTGGTGACCACTGGGAACCGCACCTGAAAATTTCCATTTGAGCCACTAGCTGGCTGTTGATGGAGACCACTTTCAAAGGACACAAAGTAATCCTGAAACCTGAAGTCTCCAACGTCTCCAGTGATGCCAGAGAAGATGGGAAGTGTATATGTTTATACAGGTGCCCGGCAGCAGGGGAATGCAAGCAGGTACTCATGTCCCTGAGCGGGGCGCCTCTGTCCCCCGCACCGACTTTGGAACCGCTGAGGAGCTATGGGATTCCACTCCAGGGGACAGGGCCCTGCGAGCAGCTCTGCATTGACCAAGTGCTGCCTGGTTTGTGGACGGCAGCCGGGTGCTGATCTCCCAGCCCCTGAGTGAGTCCCTGGTCCTGTGGCAGCGGTGCTGGGCGCTAGACAACATGGTGGCTGGAGCTGGGCCTGGAATGCTCAACTGGACGGGTGCTGATCTCCCAGCCCCTGAGTGAGTCCCTGGTCTTGTGGCAGCAGTGCTGGGCGCTGGGATGCTCAACTGGATGCTGGACATGCACTTCGCCCCCACCTAGCTTCACCCCTGCCTCGAGCGCAGAGAGGCAGTGATGTGGCCACCAACCAGCCACAGCCTGGTGGCTATCCTGGCTTTTAGCTTCGGGCTGGTCCGGGCCCGTGCACACCTGCTGTGCCCCTGGGGCTCCTCACCTGCACCAGGGCAGGAGGAGAAACCAGGCCACGGCCTGGGAGCGAGGCCCGAATGTGCTGTGGGGCCCGGGGCAAATGAGAATGCAGACCTTCCGCAAGGTGGGAAAATGGGCCCTGAAGGGATTAAAACAGAAAGCCTTCCCCTCGAAACACCTTGTTGCTGATCAACCAGAACAGGGCTCACACTGGTACGTGAGCGACAACGTACACTCACGAGGCTGGTGTGACTTCCATGGACTGCAATAGTAACACTCGGTTAATGAGCCATCTTGATCGATCCTGAGATTGTCCTGGCTTCCTTTTCTGCAGATTCATTAATTAGGTCATCAAGATGTAAACTTTCAGCAATGTCATTTTTGGTAATCTAATCGAAAGCAACACCAGCCACTCTTGGCAAATGTAAGATTGCAGATCATTTAGACAATTATTAATTTCAAGAAGGCTCAAGGCTCTTTCTGTGATGGGACCATGACAGGTCCCCCCAGAGCATGTTAGAGGCTGTGAAATTATTTTGAAACATAAGTTTTAGTACATTTAGAGCTGATGATTCTCACAGAGCAATTTAAAAAACACTATACAAATCAGTTTTGAAATGCAAATCTATACAGTCCCATTTTAATGTTCCCTCTGAGATTTTTTCTAATGTGGGGATCATATAAGAATCTGATTCATAATCTATACTAATAAAAGGGTAATATGCTAATTAGACCAAACATTTCCGGACGACCTTCCGGATGTCCTTCCAGACAAAGCCATGATGGTGGGGCCAAGGCAGAGGTGGTTAGGGGTAATCAGGCCTGCAGGGGAGAGCAGTTAGGGTGATCAGGCCAGCAGGCAGGTGAGCGGTTAGGAGCCAGCAGTCCCAGACTGGGAGAGGGATGTCTGACTGCCTGTGGGATTGGGCCTAAACTGGTAGTTGGACATCCCCCGAGGGGTCCTGGATTGGAGAAGGTGAAGGCTAGGCTGAGGGACCGCCCCGCCCTGTACGAATTTTGTGCACTGGGCCTCTAGTTTACATATAATTGAAAACACTTGTTTGTAATGTTATCATTGTATCTTGAAATATATGGAAAAAATAACTTTTGCCCTAGCCTGTTTGGCTCAGTGGATAGAGCATCAGCCTGTGGACTGAAGGGTCCCTGGTTTGATTCCAGTCAAGGGCATATGCCTGGGTTTTGGGTTCGGTCCCCAGTGCAGGAGGCAGCCAATCAATGATTCCCTGTCATCACTGATGTTTCTCTCTCTCTCTCTTCCTCTCCCTTCCTCTCTGAAATCAATAAAAATATATTAAGAAAAAATAACTTTTAACTTCTATGTTAGTAATTGGTTCATCAAAACTTTATGTGAACATTGTATTCTTTTCCATCAAATGCAGTTCCTTAAATTTAATTTGTGTTTCCAATCTTAATGGATATTCCTTTACATTGCTGATTGCATCTAAAATAGATATTCTAGCTCCTCGAATCATTCTGAGAATTTCCTGATTGACAGGCTTTATTGCAATGTCCATGTGCCCGTTTTTCTTGTACTAAGTTACTGATAATGTTTACTGCCTGAGCATCAGCAGTTTCTGTCCTGAAAGTAGTTGTGCAGAGACCAAAGGGACTTTGGGGACAGACATGCCAGCCGCCTCCCACCTCCGACCCCGGTGCTGCCCAGTGAGGACCCCTCTTTCTTGCAGGGGTTGCCACCTCTGCTCTGCGTGCTGCTGCTACAGTGACCGCCCCTCCCCAAGCACCGCCTGCTGGTCCCACACAGGCCCTTCTCTGAGGGGAGCTGGTGGCCCTCACCACCCTGTGCCCTCGCTCAGGGCCCTCTTCCTGGAAGCCCTGCCCAGCCCTCTGGAAGACACACGGCTGGCTCTCAGGCCCTATGCAAGGTGCCCGGCTCCCTTACTGTCAGGGGGCCACTCCAACGAGGGCAGGAGGCTGGGGTTCAGACAGAGCAGCCGCACTGCCAGGCTGGGTCGGGGAGCCCAGGGAAGCGGGGTGGGGGTTCTCTCCTGGACCTTCTCTTGGTGGCGTCCCAGGGAAAAGCTGACCAGGACCTGTCCTTGGTTCTCCCTCCTGTCCTCAGCTGGATGGTAGGGAGGGGCCTTGGGCTGGATGGGGCTCCAGGACCCCCAGCTGAGGGGCCTTTGTTCTCTTGGGGTGAAAGATTCCAGATCCACGCTGGGGAGGAAGTGGCTGAGGGGTGGGGGATCTGCCCTGAAGGCCCTGTGATTGGCAAGGGTTCACCTGACTTTGAGGACCTGCTGCCGGAGGGTCAGGGTGCCGGTGGGTGAAGGGGTTGGGGGCCCTTTGCCTGGCCCAATCCCCTGCAGCCTCAGGCTCCAGCCACCATCCATAACGTCCCAGCAGATTTCAGGGTGTCCTAGCCACTCAGAACCCCCTGGGCCGCGAGTGCTGGGCGTGTCCAGGGCAGCCGGGAGCCCTCTATGGGAGACTCTGCCTTTGGGTCTCCCCAGGCCCAGGTTGCCTACCTGGACTGTGGCCTTTCCTCCTCGGTCTTACCTTTGATTCTGACGCTGTCAAGAAGAGGTGGGGCAGACCTTGTGGAACGATGAGGGGGACTCAGGCCAGCTCCGCCTCCTCAGAGGCCTCTGCCAGGCCAGGGAGATAGGCAGGGCTGGGGACGGTTTATTGACAAATGGTTTCTGGGGAAGAAGTGGGGGTGGGTTTCGTGCCCCTCAGCCAGGGACCTGGCCTCCACATGGGGTTCACAGGGAGCCCAGCGGCTGCTGCCCCACCCGCCTCTGCCCAGACTCCTGGCCTCTGCACCCCTCTGTGGGTGTCTGGGTGCCTTCAGGCCCTGAGGCCGGCTTCCCTTTGGGGGTTCGATACTTGTTCTTCTGACTGTACAGCAGGTTCCTCTGGAAAAGGCGGGGGAGGTGGCCATGGTACAGCAGGACGGCCAGCACCATCCCTGCAGGAGACGGAGTGTCAGACATAGGGCCCTCGGGTTTCTTGCAGCCAAGACACCTGGGCACTCACACGCCAGACTTTCCCTAGGATGGGGTGGGGGGCCTGCACCTGGGCTGGGGGAGGGGGAGGCAGCAGCCTGGGAACCTGACCCGACTCCCTCCCCTCCCCAAAGGAAGCAGCCCCTGAATGGGCTCTGCACCGGAAAGCTGGGCCCAGCAGGCTTGCCTACCAGGATGCTTTATGTGGCCTGTTCCCCAACCGTGAGCCACGCCCAGGGCTAGCTTTGCCTCTGCCCCTGGGAGCTCCTGGGGACCCCAGTGCCCTCCCGCCGGCCCTTACCTGTCAGAGGGCCCAGCCAGTACACCTGGGCGTATTCCAGCAAGGTGTGCCCTGAGCAGTGGAAGGTAACCGAGGCGGCCAGGGCGGGGTTGAAGAAGGCAGATGTGAGGGGTCCAGCTGTGGAGGAAGCACGGACAGGCCTCATGTGGCCCTACCTGGACCAGAGCCACCCTCCAAAATCCCCACCCTGAATCCTACTGTTCCCTGGCCTAGGTGGGCTCTTGGCACCCAGGCAGGGAGCCCAGTCCATCCTCGGCCCCTGCACTGATGGGGTCACGGCAGGAAGGCCACTCAACCAAGGCCAAAGCTTTCGTGGTCAGGGAGCAGCCAGGGGAGTCTCTCCAGGGACATCCAATGCCCGACCTGACCTCTCACCCCTGGGATGGACTCATCTCTCCCAGCCCCTTTCTCCAACACATCCCACCTCGAGGGAGGTTGTCTTAGAGAGAGAGACTGAGAGAGAGAAAGTGAGAGAGACAGAGACAGAGGCAGAGATGGAGCAATACGGAGACAGAGACAGAGAGATAGGGAGGCAGATAAAGACAGACAGACAGACAGAGACCAAGAGACAAAGAGATAAAGAGATCATGGAACAAAGCAACACCATGACTGTGGGGAGATTTGGATGAGCAGCCAGAGCCAGGCCAGCGTCCCTGAACCCCAGGCCAGGCAGACCCCCGTGAGCAGGGGCCTCCCGGGGCAGGCCTGGGCCCTGTGGACAGGGAGCCTGAAGCCGGCAGATGGAGGCCAGGCGTGGGCAGTGGTGCTGACGCTGCGGGAGGCACCTGGGTGGGTCCTGTGCAGACGCAGGAGCTCCTGGGTGTCACCTCAGGTGAGTGTCCAGGCCATCTGGCCGCAGGGCTCTGCCCCTGACAAGCTCTCTGCTCAGCCCTGCCTCCATCTCCCCACCTGTGCATGGGCCCCAGTGGCAGCTTTCTGGCCGTTGGTGGCCCAGGTACTACAGTCAGTGACACAGAAAGTGGGCCCTCAGGGCTGGGTCTGTCCTCCCTGGGAACCCCACAAATGGAGACCTTGGGGAGCTCGGCCTCAGCCCCTTCCTGCTGCGTCTTCTGCTGCGTCTTCCCCCCGCCTGGAGCCGACAGCTGCCGCTGACTGAGCGCAGCCACGGTCACAGGTGCCCTTCCCAGAGAGCTTGACGAGTGCAGGCTCCTGTCCACGCCCAGCACAGGGGCACTGCAGCCACTTCCTGAGAGCCGCTGCTGTCCTACCCTGACCCCGGCCCCGGTGCCCAGGGGCAGAGGGAGCGTGCAGCCCAGAGGACCCTCCTCGGGGAAAATCCCATAGACTGCAGGGCCCCAGCCTGGCTCCTCCATGTCCTGGCCCAGCGCTGTCCCCAACTCAGGGACAGCTGGAAAGTAAGGTCTGTGGTCAGTGGCTCTCTGCTTTTCCACAAAAGGGGGAAAGGCCCCTGTCACACTGGGGGCAGGCCCAAGTGGGGGACCTCAGGATAGGTGACCTCCATCTAAGGGCCAAACGCAGGGCGGGGCCAGGGGGAGGCTCAGGGCAGCTCCCACAGGGGCTGAAGGACCCATGAGAATTTGGTCAGGAGGTTTGCCTGGGTGGGAGGAGTGACCCCAAAGGGAGGCGGAGTGTCTGCTGCCACCCCAGTAGCTCTTGGTGCCGAGAGGGGAGGTGGAGACCTGGGTGAGGAAGAAACGACAGGACCCGGCCCGCTAGGAAGGGGTGAGAGAAGACGCAGGGCTTGCCGACTGGAGCCTGGGCCACACCCTGGAGAAACCGCCGGCTGCCCATCTGCCCCTGAACGCAGCCCCTGAACTCCCCAGCCGGCCACTTTGCTTTCTTAGAAAAGCATTTTCGTGTCTACGCTGCCATGCAGAACACTCACCGCATACAGTGAGGGGGGCCTTTCTGGCTCAGCTTCTGGAAGGAGCTCAGAGTGTGGAGAGGCCTGGCCAGGAGGAAGCCCCTGACAGGGGCCTGGGGTCCCACCTGCCACGCTGTGTCCAGCCCCACTGGTCACACCACCACCTGCTTCCCAGGGAATGGCCTCCCCAGTGTCTGTGGCTCTCAGACCCCTCAGCTGACAGCCCCTTTCCTGCCCACAGCTGCTGGCGGCCCTGCCAGAGGTTCTGAGGAGACGCAGGGGAAGACGCCCAGGTCGCACCTGTGTAGGCGATGATGGTGACCAGCAGAGCCACGGCGGGCACTCTGTAGACGGGAAGGCTATTCCTGAGGCGGAGGAGGGTCAGATGGAAGACGAAGGCGCAGGCGCCCTCCACCAGCGCGCCGTGGGGGACGGTCGTGCGCAGGGCGGAGCTGCAGTGTTCGGCCATGAGGTTCTGCAGGACATGCAGGTCGCTGAGCTCCCAGGCCCAGTAGAGCCGGGTCAGGGCGCAGGCCGCCTGCATGCCCAGCTCCTGGGCCGCCAGCTTGAGCAGAGTGCCGGGCAGAGAGGCCTCGGCCAGGAGGAGCTCCTGCAGGGACACGGTGGGGTTGGCCGAGGCCCCGTCGAAGGTGGCCCCGTGTGCCAGGAAGAGCAGGAAGAGCAGGGTCAGCAGCAGGTCGGGCCCGAAGCCGCCCGCCCAGGGGCCCAGCTCTGCCAGCATCCGCATCTCCAGGCAGCAGGCCCCCAGCTGGGCCGCGCCTGCCGCCTCCAGGGCAAAGCTGACGTAGGCACCTTTGGGGAGCAGGGCCTTGGACACCCTCCTGGCCGCCTGGCACAGGGCAATGGTGGCCAAGAAGAACGAGAGAGACACGTTCAGACCAGCCATCGGCTCCAGGGGCTCTATGGAGCCAGACTGAGCAGGGAAGCTGAGCTGACGTATCGGGGCTGACCCACCCCAGGACCCGAGGGCGGGGGAGCCGTGGAAGCGTCCATCTGGGCTGGCACTCCTGGGAACGCCACACCTGCACCCTCACCTCCATCCCACCTGCTGCAGACCCAGGAACAGAGCCAGGAACGCCCACAGCGGACCGGCCCTCAGCCAGGCGTCTTCCCCAGGGCGTGAGACACACTGGGACACGCACCCCACTCGGCCAGCCCAGGGCTGCAGCCTGGCCACAGCTCTTCAAAGCCTCCATCGAGCGCCATGCCACACCCAGGCTCCTAGCTCCACGCTGGCAGCTCCCTGTGCCTGGGCGGGTCCCTGGCTCTGCCTGCACTCTGGGTCACACGCCACCAGTTCCCTGCATGGAGGCAGCCATCTGTGGAAGCCCTGGGGGCTCCACGAGGGCTGCTCTGGGCGCCCAAAGAAGCTGAACCAGCAGAAAGGCCCACCTCACTATATGCGGTGTGTTCTGCAGGGCAGTGTAGACACATAAAGTGCTTTTCTAAGAAAGCAGAATGGCCGGCTGGGGAGTTCAGGGCCTTCGTTCAGACCCTGGGCCCCTGGCACGTAGGAGTTCCCTGGGAACGCCTCCCCACCCCCACTATGTGCCAAATGGACCCCTTCCTGAGGACACATTGCTGGGCCATGTCTCGCCAGTCCAGAGAGACCTGGGAGTCACTGCCAGTTTGGATTTCCTTTCTGGGAGTCCAGCGGGGCATGACATCACCTGGCTGCACTCCAGCAGGCCCTGGGGCCTGCATGCTGCCCCAGCTCTAGAGCTGGCTTCCGGGAGCAGTGGCAGCGCCTTCCACGGGCAGGGTGCACGCAGCGCCCCTTTGTGTTCATCCCACCGGAACCTGTTTCCCGGGGAACAGAGGGCTTCCCTGTCCTGCCCACTCCCCCTCCCTTCCATTCCTCGTTTTTATTTTTCTAATCCAATGCCTGTGCCTGCCAGACTCTGCTTGCACAGAAGGGAGTCTGAGACCCGGGAAGGGGAACCCACAGCATGGAGGACAAGGAGCTGGCTTTTTTCTTGGTTGTCCCCAGTTTTGAGGTCCAGGACTTTTACCGAGAGGGTGAGGTTAACCCCAACAAGAATTCCACCCTGGGCAGCCCTGTAGGAAACCCACCCACCATCCCCCTTGCCCAGCAGACCGCACCCTGGATGGCAGACAGACCCGGGCAGACTCCAGCCTGGGGGGTGGGAGCTGCCCCTGTCCTTTCCTCGTTCGAGGCCCAGCCCTCTCAGAAGAGTGGGGGGACATTCTGAAGCCACAGAGACCTAGAGACTGGACACAGGCAAGACAGGGTTCCCTCAGGGACCATGTGGAGAGTGTGTCCGTGCTGGGGCCTCCCATTCCATCGTCACACCCACTGGCCTTCCGTCTGTCCCTGTCACTCCTGCTCCCACCAGGTGGGGCCTGGCCCTCCGCCTCCACGTGTCCACGCAGCACACAGAAGGAAGGCACCGTCCGACAGTCCGCTGTGAGCACGCCGACCTCCACACGGGGGCTCAGGGACTCACGTGGACGATCAATGTCGACTCATTTTTTTATTTTTAGGCACTTTTTGATTTTTAGATAAAACTTAAAGGGAAGCTCATCAACCTTCAGCGGAAACCTCCACCCTTCTGACCAACACATGAACCCAGTAACCACGCCGTCACCCAGGAAGGGAACATTTCCACCGTCCCCGGGCCTCTCGCCTTCCTTCCTCGTACCGCCCATCCACTCTCCTGGCTCATGTTCCCACAGGCCCGAGTTTCTCGTGAACAAGGAATCGTCACCGGAGCCCGGGTCTGTCCGTGAGGGGCACTGACCTTTTTATTGCTGAATGGAATTCCATGTAAGGAAGGACCACAGCTGGTGTGTCCATTTCTCCGATGTGAACATTTAGGTATTTTTTTCTTTTGGTTTTTGGCCTGGTGCGAATAAAGCTGCCACAGCGTTGCCTAGGCAGCCGTGGTATGTGACATAAGAGCAATGTGTGAGACGTGTGGGCTGTGAAGAAAGTTGGTGTGAAGGTTCACACACATTGTCTACCCTACCCAGAGTTCACATCCCTTTACTTATGGTTTCGATCATATTTTCCTGATGACAGAGGATGCTAAGCACATTGCTGTGAGCTTATTGGTCATTCAAATACGTTTTGCTCATTTTTTATTAAGTGTATACCTTTTTATTATCTACTAGTGACCCAACGTGCGAAATCACGCGAGACCCGGAACCCCGGGGCTCCTCAATGGATTGCCCCAAAGAGGTAGGCTGGAGCTGGGGGTCTCGCCTCCATGCTGCGGAGCCGCGGGACCCCCAGGCCTTGTTGTATGGAGCAGCTGCCGGGCCCTGCCTCCGAGACACACACACAGCATCAAGTCCTCGCCCACCCGCGTGCGCCTCATCATGCACGCAGCCCCACCCACCCGCACGCGACTGCTGCACCCGCAGCCTCCTTGTGACGGTGTGAGGGCATCACGATGTGACAACCACCGAGGCCCATGGTCGGCAAACTCATTAGTCAACAGAGCCAAATATCAACAGTACAACGATTGAAATTTCTTTTGAGAGCCAAATTTTTAAACTTAAACTATATAGGTAGGTACATTGTTATTAACTTAATTAGGGTACTCCTAAGCTGGCCTTTGCTAAAAACGTCCTCAATCTGATTGAGGTACATTCGCTGAGGTCGACCCCTTTCAACTTTCCCATCCACACCCTAGGCTATTATTAGTGTGTGTGTGTGTGTGTATGAAAGCTTAAGCTACCGTTCGACCATTCAACCAGTAGCTATGATGCACACTGACCACCAGAGGGTAGATGCTCTGACTGGTAGGTTAGCTTGATGCTGGGGTCTGGCCAATTGGACTGGGCCAGACGGGCCAGACACGCCCTGAAGCCCTCCTGTGATCCCTCCCTGACCCCGATTGTGCACGGGTGGGGTCTCTCTGCCTGGCCTGTGCCCTCTTGCAATCCGGGACCCCTCGGGGGATGTCGGAGAGTCAGTTTCATCCTGATCCCTGCAGGCCATGCTGAGAAACCCCACTGGTGCACGAATCTGTGCACCGGGCCTCTAGGTGAGTTATAATGATGCTTCATGTATTCTTATATATTCTGCATACAAATCCTTTGTCCTAACCTTGTTTTACAAATATCTTCTCCCAGTTCCTGGTCATTTTCTTAGTGATGCATTTCGATAAGTCTGTCTAGAAGTGTTACTGTTTTGTGTTTTACATTTATGTCTAAGATCTATTTTGACCTAACTTCTCAACCTTTGTGAAAAGTCTAAGATCTCCCACCAGTGACCCGATGTGCAAATAACACACAGCAGAGGCCCGCGCTCGGGGCTGCGTGAGGAACCACGTTTATTTCATAACTGGACAGAGCGTAGGTGCACACACACAGTACAGGAGCCTAGAGCTAACACTCGGGGTCAGGACGTTGGGGAACTGGAGTCATTATGGCAGGATGGCAGTTATGGTGCAGGGGTGGGTGTGCCACACAACCACGTATGTACAAGCCGCAGGGAGCCTCGGGAACAGGCAGCTACAGGAAGCACAGGCCCAGGAAGAAGCCACAGCCTGTTGTCGGGAGGACCAGCGTGGCAACCTGCTCACACCTCCCCGAGCACTTCGCCACACCCGCCTGAGGTGGGACTGCCTCACACAGCCACCTGGGTGTATGTGTGTGTGGCTGAAATGAAACATTGTCATCTCACGAGTGGTTATTCAGAACAGGGAGTCCTTGCAACTATTGAGCATCTCACACACCCTGGACACCAGCCAGGTTGGAGCCCATGGCCGGCCGGCCGAGCCCAGCATCCCCCCTGGGACCTCTCCCTAGAGCCTCTGGAAGGAACTCACACTCCGCTGGGGGGACAGAGAGCGGATCCGGACGAGAATGGTGTCTTTCAAACAAAACGAGGCCGCAGCCTGAGCAGCATCAAGCATTCAAACAAAAACCACCAGAGTTGCTTTCTGGATCTCTCTCTCCTCCCTACTCAGCAGGAACAGAAGCCACACCAGACCTGACTTTGCTCTCTGCACCCCAAAGGGTGCAAACTCGGGGGCCCCCAGATGAGCCTCGCTTGTCACAGATGTGGAAACGAAGTCCCGGTTTGATAAACGACTTGTCTCAGCTAACATGACACATGGAGGTTCGGGCAGGGCGGGCACAGAGACCAGGCTTCCTGACTCCTCGTGGGTTTCCTCTCCGGCCACTCTGGGTGTCTGGACTCGGACCTAGGACCTCCCGCTACAGCCGGCCCGGAAGGGACGCCAGGTCCACGCCTGGCTCCTCATCACTGCTGAGACGGCCCAGGCCAGGATGAAACGGTCCCTGGAAGCCTCCATGGCTGGGGAGGCTCCTGAATTTGGGGAGATTCCGAAAACCCTCTCGGGGGCCCCTTCCCTTGGCCCTGCCGAGGACACAGGTGCTCTGCAGGTTGGCTGGCCTCAGACACCTGTGCCCTCGTGCAAAGGCCTCAGACCCTCTTGGGGCCATGCCCTCAGGCTGGCTGACCTGAGTGGGCCATGGCTGGGCCCTGGGGAGCCTGACTCTCTTAGCACTCGCCCCTCCCTGCTTCTCCCCGCCACAGGCTGTCATAGAAGCCAGTGTTTGTCCCAGACTAGCTCCTCTCCTGTGTGTCTCAGCCCATCACCTCCGGGAACACCTGTGGAGGTGAGCACTGTCCCTGCTTCTGGACAATGTGCGCACAGACGCGGTCCTGGGCCCTGACGCTTGCTGGCAGCTTCCCCTCAGGAGCGCTGTCCAGGCACAGAAGGGCTGTCAGCCTCGAGCTGGGCTGGTGCAGGCTGGCGGGCACACACGCTGCCACAGGGTCCGCCCTCCTGCATCCCTCATCTGAGGCCAAGCTTAAGGGGCCTGAACAACTTCCCCAAAGGAAAACCACACTGGATCCTTGTCCCTCGGACGAAGCCCACACCACACATCCCCAGAGGAAGGAGCTGGGGGCACCTCTGGCCTCAGTGGCCGGAACCGTGAGAATGTCCATGTGTCATGTCAGCACCACGCGGGACAGTGTGGGTCTCAGAACCACTGTCTCCAGGGTGAGCTGGAGTCCTCCAAGCCGAGTGGAAACTGGTGTCAGTGAACGGTGCCCAGCAGGGGCTGGCAAGGATGGAGGGAGTTGCCAGAGAAAGCTGTGGACCAGCAAGGCTGGGCATGAACTGGGGCCAAGTGAAGCCGCTCTGCTGGGGACAGTTTTGCAGTGTTTTTTTTTCTTGAGCTAAAAAGAGGCCCGATGTGCCTCGGGTGTGGGAACAGTTCCCAGGAGACCCCTGTGGTTTCTCTGCTGGGTTTAGGGCCTAGACAGGACCCTCGGCCAGACTCGTGGCCTGCGCTGACTCCTGTCCTGTCCTGGCCAACCCTTGGGCACAGGGTCTGCAGAGGGGCCAGAACAAGAGAATGGTGGCACATCTGATGCAGAAGGGGGAGGAGGAGCCCATGGCACTCACGGAACTCTCTTCTCTCGGGGCAAAGAGGGGAAATCTCAGACTTTCTTCCAGAAGCAACCTGGAGCTCACCCCATTTCTCACAGCAACTGGAGAGGCTGTACCTCAAGCCCCTCGCTGCCTGGACCATCACCCTGGACCACCTCTAACCCCAGCCAGCCTCGCCCCACCTGCCTGGACACACGGCACGAGCGTGGGCTCCTGTCCTTCCTCCCCGGCCCCACCAGCATAGCCCCTGCAGCCCTACCACTGCCTCACCTCCCACACCCTCCCGGGAGCTGCACTGGCACTGCTGGGAGTCACAGCTCAGGCGGCTGCTGTGCAGGTCGGATGTGGCTGTACCTCCTGCTAGAAGGGACACACGCCACCTTCTGTGCTGCTGGGACTTCAGGCACACACCCCAGGACGAGGATCTGCCCCATGGGCAGCTGGGGAGAGGCCTCAGGCAGGTGGCCCAGTGGCACCAACCTCACTGTGGTCTTCTGAGGCAGCTGCCCACCCTATCTGTCCCTAAGAGGCTTGGGAGATTGGTGTGGGAACAAGCGGGGACAGGGTCCATCTGAATCCTAAAGGTCGTTAGAAATAAATACTTATAAATAGAATACAGTCTTATAGTTAACTTCTGAGTGGACTGCTTCCATGTCGCTAACTACTGTATATTAATTATAAGTCTGTCTATGCTTAAAAAAATATGAGAACGTCACCGATGCCCCTGACTGGTGCCCTCCGGTCTCTCCAGCGTCTCCCAGCTCTTCCCCCCCTCCCCCAGGGCACAGTCTCAGAGAAGGAATGATGACAACACGGCCTCCACTGGGAGCATGACAGTCATGTGGTGCAGGTCCCCGGCCAGAGGCAGGCTCGCTGGCCCAGCACAGCGTCCCTGGGAGGAGGGGACTTGTTGGCTGTCTGGTGGGAAGGACTGGGTGGCAAAGACAGACGGATGGTGAGAGGGGGCAGGCCGGGCCTGCTGGCTGTCTGGAGGGGGGGTGTCTTCCACTCAGACCCGCATCTGGGCAGACCTCCTTCTGGAAAGCTTGGACCTGCGGGAGGGTTGGAAGAGGATCAGAGCTCAGGGAGGACGGCCCCAGACCCCTCTGGTTCCCTTGTCACCCGAGAGACATGTCACCGTGACCCCTGTGAAGTCACGGAGGGAGGGGGGCCTGGCTATTCCCTACACAGAGGTTTCTTCCCTACAGAAAAGTGCACCTTGGTGGCAGGTGAAGTTTGAAAATTTGGGGAGTTTATCCACTCCGTGAGCAGCAAGGACAAACATGAACACCGACGCCCCTGCGGATGCCCCCAGGCCTGCACCCTCCCTCGTCCCAGCGGAGGTGCAAACACCCATCCAGCCTGAGGTGGCCCTACCGTATGGTCCCGGCCAGGAGAGGGTTGAACGCGTACAGCCAGTCGTGCATGTCCTTGTCGCTACTGGCCTGCAGCAGGATGCCACGGTGCTCCGTGCACACGGCGAACGTGTGGGGCGTCTGCAAAGCACCGCGCTGTGAGAGGCACCGCCCCTCCCTGGGGTCAGCACTCAGCCAGGGAGGAGGGAGCAAGAGGGGAGACCCACAGGCTGGGGGCGCTGACAGGGCTATGTGAACTCTGCAGTGTGCACGGCCTGGCCCGGAAGGTTCTGCAGGACACCCCTCTATTCTCATGCCCCAGGGCCCCTTGCCACTGCTCTGTGTCCCCACCTCATAGGCCAAGGCTCCTTCCCCCGGGACCCTGGCATAGCTGTGGTCCAGATATGTCCACTGGGCCCGTAATCCTGGCGTCCCTTCTTCTCAAGCTTGAGCCCTTGGCATCGTGGTTTGAGTTCCCACCCCCACCCCAGGGAATCAAAAATCACCTAGTGCCACTGTAGTGGCCGAGGGAAGGAGTCGGGTTCCCAGAACCCACATCCATAGCTGCGCTTGCTCAGAGGAGCAGGGCAAGGCTGGGGGGCAGGGGGCTGGACTCCTGGGCCCACAGCACTGCTGGCCTGGGTGGCTCGGCCCACCCCACCATGGGTATCCTCAGGAGGGGACGGGGTTGTTGGCCCTCGGATGGGAGAAGGTTCATGCTTGTCCCATCATCACCACTGGTTGCCACCAGGACAATGAGCCCCATGGGTGGTAGAGACCTGGGACAGGAAAGGCTGCCCCGGCTCCTGCCCTCTCCTTCCCTGTCTGGGACGCACTGTGTCCTGCCAGCCCAGGGCCTGCCCATCCCATTTCCGTGTCCGCACCTTGAGCATGGCCTGCTGGTCCTCGCTGTACTCCACCTGGGCGGTGGAGAGGTTGAGCACAAACCTCTCTACCGTGTCCTTGTCGTTGTTGTACATGTAGGCGTAGGGCCGCCGCACCACCACGTAGCGCTTGGCCCAGCCGGCCGTGTGCGGCTCCAGGAAGTGCAGGTAGCCCTTCTTGGAGACGATGGGGCTGTGGGGACAGGAACGTCTGCTCGTCCACGCCCTCCTGGCAGCCAGTGGGAGGCCCCAGCTCGGAGGTTCACTGTCCACCATGAGCCAGGTCCCCAGCCGTGCCGCCAGCGGGCCTCCGAGAGGAGCAGCCAGGACAGAGGCACCTGGGGACCTGGCAAGACCCCAACCTGGGAGGCCAGAGACCAGAACCACCCACCCGTCTCTGAGCCTCGGTCCCCAGCTGGAAGATGGAAAAGCGTAGGAAGGCTGCAGCTGCCCTGGCCTGTCACGCTGTGACCCACGACTGCACCCACCAACAGTGGTGAGCTCAGGACATGTGCATGGTGGCCACACCGGTCATTCGCAGACACATCACCACCAGGGCCCTTGCTCTGACCTCCCCCAGCCCTAGGTCAGGGGGCAAGGCTGGCCGGTGACCTGCGCACCTGACCCGGACCTCCTGGATGTCGGGAACCAGCGGGCGCTGGGGCTCCTTGTCCGATTCCGTGGCCCGAGCAGGGGAGGGGATCTTCTTGGAATCAGCCTCTGGCACATTCTCGGGCTCCGGGCTGGCCGGCCGGGAGCTGGGCTGCAGGCTCCTGGGGAAAGGAGGGACGCTGCTGCCCTTCACTGGGCCCAGAACCACCCTCCCCAGGCTCCTGATGGGGCCTCGTGCTCTCAGAGCCACTGTGGCACCTCTGGCTGTCTGACGGCCACACCCACAGTCTGGCCCACCCACCTGATTCCAGGATTGTGCTGGACACCGTGGGGAGGGGTCAGCTGTGAGGGGCTCCACACCTCTCTCCCGTGGTGCTCTCTGCCCCTCCCCCTTCACCCCATAAAGGTGGCTGTAGCCACTCGTCATCCCCCAAATTGAGTTGAAAGAGACACAAGTCTCTCAGGGACCGTCTGGCCCACGGCCCACGCCAGGCCCTATGACTGCACCTGGTGGCCCAGGAGGCCTGTCCCAGGATGACAGCCAGAGGATTCAATACCATTTTTTTTTGTTTTTAAGAAGAAATTCAGGAAACGCCAAGGGATTTAAAATTGGATGATCAGACATAAGCGGTGTCAGCAGTGTGGGGAGGGTCTCTTCCCAGCACGGCTCCCGTGCCACGTGTCCCTGTCGGCAGGAGAGGGCTCAGGTTTTTCTCACTGAGCATTTTATGAGCGCCGCCCCATGAAAAGGGTCTCGTTTTGTGCTATTTTGACCTGTTCCTGCTTTTATTCAGGGCTGGTTTTAAATGTATGCGTCAGCAGAACATGGCCTCAGAAAGAAGGTTAGGACATCACGCTCACAGGAGGCTGTGGGGTGGGCACAGGGCAGACTCTGGGGGCAGTGCCTGCAGACCCCACGCCACCAGGCCTGCCCTGGATGTCTGGCTGCCCCGAGTGACTTGGCCACCCGCGCCCCCTTCTCTGCACTCCGTGCCTGAGTCAGGGCTATCGTCGTCGCTAGTCTTGCAGAGCGGGAAGCTGCGCAGGAGCCTGAGGGCTCACTCACCTCAGGTCAGCTGCTCCATACCGCCCTTCGACCAGAGAGGGGCAGGTAGAGGAGGGAGTGAGCGTGGCCACCCCCAGAGGGGACAGGGACGTGTCCTGCAGCAGTGTGACGGACATCTCAGAGAGCTGTGGAGGAGAGAGAGGCTTTTACAGGGGACACAGGGAGGGGACAGTCTCGTGGTGGGGACACCGAAGAAGTGGCTGATTCCTGCACCTTTGCTGGCATTTGAACTCCCATTTAGGGCACCCCCACCCCCACTGCAGGTACCTCCCACCCCCTCCCAGCCCCACCAGGGACTCATGGCTGTAGGGCTTCAAAGAGCATGGAGGACCACACTGGGTGGTGCTGGGGAAGGTGCGGCTGAGCCAGAGGTTAGGACGTGCATCTTGAGGACCATGGGGAGTGGCCCTCCCAGGCAGAGGGAGAGGCCAGCACGGCAGGCTGCGGGGCAGGGAGCGAGGACCCAGGATGGCTGGAGTGCCATGGGGACACTGGCGTGGGAGCCATGAGCCAGGGTGGGGGCTCCGGGCCTGACTCGGTGCCCACCTTGCTCTCGCTAGCGCTGATGCAGACGTGGCTGTGTGTGTACTCTCTGTTGAACGTGTGCGTGAGGAGGCGCAAACACTGCAGGAACAGCAAACACCCAGTCAGGGACCAGGCTCGGCCGAGGGCTCAGCCCCCAACAACACAGAGACTGGCCCAGGTGCCCGGCACTGCAGGTCAAGGTGGGAGCACCTGCAGGCCTCTAAGAAGACAGGGAAGCCTCCCCAGGCAGGACTGGGACTGGGCGAAGGCCAGCTCGGTGGCCCCAGCCGCAAAATGGGCGGGGATTCGGGTGGTCAGCTCCCCACCGATTTCGGTATTTAAGAGAGGACATGCCACTGCTCAGGGAGGGGACTCCCAAATTCCAGTGTGGGTGCGGTGGGGGCTGTGGGCAAGGGGACTCTATAGACCCCTCATCTTCCCAGCTCCAGGCCCTGACAGGACCTAGCACAGACAAGGCCACGTCACTGGAGCTCTGCAGGGGCTGGGTCATGGCCGTGCTGCCCACCCGCCCAACTGCCCAGCTGCCTACCTTGACGGCCAGCTCCCGCTGCCTCTCGTTGGGAGTTTCCGGGGGCGACGCTCGGCCATCAGCCGAGAGTGGAGAGGAGGCGCTGGACAAGCTGTGGGACTCCGAGTCCTCGCTGGAGGCCGGGGACAGCGTCTCGGGGACGGGCCGCTGGGTGGTCTCCAGCTTCTCCCGCAGCAGGAGGTAGTGCCGGGTCTTCTCGACCTGCACGCGAGAGCCAGAGCGTGGCCTCACCTGCTGCACTCGCGGGCGAGGGCAGGGCGGGCAGCCCCCTGAGCTCCAGGGCCCCAGGTCAGATCCTGGGAGAGCAAAGCAACCTGAGGCCACGCTGCTGATGGGGAATCAGCCCCTCCCATGCCCTGTGGCCAACACGCTGCCCTCCTCCATCCTGGCCTCCCGCCCAGCCTGTGCCAGCCCCGAGCGGATGGACACTCGAACTCCGACACGAGCATCCGGCAGGGGCCCAGGGGGTGGGTGCGGGCCTCTGCTGCCTGCTGTCCACAGCTGCTGGTCACTGGGCCCCTGACTTAGCGACAGAGGGCCTTGCCCACCCCGATTCCTGGTCTCTGTCTGCAAGCCAATAGCCCTCCGCAATTAGGTCCGTGAGAGCAGTGTGAGTGCCCTCGCTCTGTCCTGGGGTGGCCTGGGACCCCCAGGGTCTGGCACAGACGCACCTCCTGCAGCAGGCTCAGCTTCTCCAGCTCCCACTGGTGGTCCAGGATAAGGCTGTCACTGCGGGGCCTCCAGCCCGCCAGGTTCTCCTCACCCCGCACGTAGGCCACAGACGTGTCCAGCACCCGACGGCGCCGCCGCTGCATCCCTGAAAAGGGTCACCTGTCTGACCACGTCCCCACCGGGGGTGCAGGGACAGGGCCCTGGGGCAGCTCCCCCTCCCCTAACCCTTGGTCCACCCTCAGAGCCACCCTGGGCTCGCCCAAGGAAAGTCATACAGCATCCGTCCCATGGGGGTTAGAGCTCGAGATGCCCTCCCTTCTGCCGGCCTTCCCATTGCTGCCTCGCCCCTCCCTGTCCTCCAGCCCCTCAGAACAACCTTGGAGAGGCCCGTGCTTCTCACAGGGAAGGAACCCCCCAATTGGCAGCTTCGCTGACGTCACCTGGAGTGACCCAGAGGACCCCAGGTGACTCGCAATAAGTGCCACCCTGCCCGGCCTGCCACAGAGAGCAGGACAGACACCTACCTGGGCTGCCCGCGTCGGCCACGTGGCACAGGCTGAGGTCGTACACACCGGTCACACGGTTGCTGTTGGGGGCAGAGGGGGACATGCTGTCACCAAGCACGGGGATGCCCGGGACCAACTCTCACCACCATCAAAGTCACATTGGGCACCTGCCCTGCCCACACAGGTGGCCTCCAAGGGGGAGCTGGGTGCCAGGCCCCCACACTGCAGCCCTACTCGCATAGTCCCCACCTCAGACCCCCTTTTCCCTGGGACTGCCGATTCTGCCGGGGGCACCCACCAACCCTCTTGTGGACCTCTCAGATGACTGGTTGTGGCCAGCCCGAGGCCACTGAGTCCTGACCCCCACACTCCCTCCTCCCAGCTGTGCCCAGAGTGGCCTGGATATGGGGGGTCCACGGGACAGAGCATGTGGGGAACCTCACTGCCTTGACACTGTCCCCCCAGAGTGCAAGGAGCGGTGGGAGTGGGAGAGGCACATCTGGTTCTGGAGTCTGACCCTCAGGTGCTGCCAGCCTCCACCCCGAGTCCCCTCCCAGCCTGCCCGCTCCCCCCACCCCATTTATCCAGCCTCCCCCGTGTGCAGGCGAGGGGCCCTGATGGCCCAGACCCTGTGGCCCCCGGGAAAGAAGGTCACCTGGTGGTGGGGTGCAGTGTGGCTCCCTAACATGCCATTGATGTCCCACACGTACCCCCTGGCTTCCAACAACCCCAACATCAGGGTGAGGAGAAGGGCCGAGAGCAGGGGGCCAGCCAGAAGCGGACAAGCTGGGCTCTCGTCAGCCTGTGGCCGAGCATCCTAAGCAGTCCGGTCTTTGGGTGGCCAGGGTGCCCTGCCCACTCCAGCAGCTCACCTCTCCGAGGACCGCAGGCTCCCGCTGCCGAACAGGTTTCGGATGGAGCGCGAGGCGGGCAGCTTGGCGTCTCGGGAGTAGAAGACCATGCAGAAGTCCTTGGTGATGACGGCCGGCTGGGCACAGTTCTCCATCTGCGGGGACAGGGAGGCGGGGGCTCAGGCAGAGGACACGCTCTTCTAACCTCCTGGGGGCAAGAGCCACGGCACTGACCACAGCCCAGGCCTCGCCAGGCCCCGCGTGGCCCCAGAGCAGGCGGGAGAGTCCCTGGTCCTCGCTGGAGCACCTCCCGGCAGAGGCAGCGGGCCCTGCCTCCCAGGGCTGCCGAGGGCCAGCCTCCGTGCAGAGGCCCCGAGGGTCACCACCGATCCGAGACACGCTACACGTCTGTGAGAATAGAACGTACCCACGCGGTGCGTCTAACCCGCCACAGACCACGTCATGGTGGCGCGTGTGGTGTCACATGCAGCCGCTCTTTGTGCTCCTGAAGCTCAACTGTAACTCTGACAAAGCCAATGGGCACTGGGGACTTGTCTGGGCAGAGCCATTACAGATGGAGGAGTAGGCTCTGAGGGGGGGCGATGCCCTCACCCTCGATGCTGACCCCAAACTTCCAGATTCCTGGCTACCGTACCCACTAGATTCGCCCAGGCTCCCAGCCTGCTCCTGTGCGCCAGGCCCTGGGGATGGGGAAGAGGCTTCTGTTTTTGAGCTGCCTGGAGCATAGATGCCACCTGGCCACACCGACAGCCCACACAGTAGAGACGCGGGTGGGCTGACAGCACTGCCGCGCGAGGTGCATGGGTGTCGCGAGGACTTGGGGAGACAGCAGGGTTGTGTGGGCTTGTCCAGAGCGCGCTCGCCCTCCTTGCCCTGGGCAGGCCCCGCTGGCTCAGGGGACAGGTGACTTCGGCGGCGTGCCTGGGCACAGGAGCCTTGCCTCAATGTAAGCAGAGACGGTCATGTAGATCTTCTCTCTGTACGGGGTGACGCGGTTCAGCAGGAGGGAGTTGTGCATGGAGCTGTCCCACGCAGCCTCGAACTGGTAGAAGGTCCTGGCAGGGAGCAGAGAGAAGGTAAGAGAACAACGTGCAGGCCACACTGGGCTGGGGTGGGGACATGCAGACGGACAGACAGACAGACATATGGCGACCCGCAGGGAGTGTCGCTGGGGTCACAGGTCCAGAGGACTGGGGGCAGTGTCCAGGAAAGACAGTCCCCTCCTTACTCAGGACTGGGGGGGGGGCTCCAGATGCCACCAGCAGGGTGTACCCAGCTGTCACCTCCACTGTGGACGAGGAGTGGCATGTGGTAGCCCACAGCTCTCAAGCTAAGAGCAGGGAGGGTGGGGACAAGGAAAGAGGGGAACGACTACAAGGGTGGGGACAGGGCGGGGGCCTGGGTCTGAGTAAGGAGGTGCCATGGTCTCTCCTTGGACCCTAAGGAACCTGCCCCAGTTTGCAAAACCCTCCAGGGCCCCCCTCCTCCATGACCGACTCGCCCCTGGGAGAGGAAGGGCCCTCGGGGAGGATGCTGGGAGTGGAAACCGGGCGGCCAGGTGCAGACAGCACCACTGCCCACTGCGGCCAGACTCTCCACTCAGGCAGAGCAGGCTGAGGCCTCTCCTCTGCCTCCATCTCCAACCCGGAAAGATAATGAGCAGAGCATGAGCCAGGGGCCGGCAAACCCCTCCCGGGGTGGGGGCAGCTCAAGCCATGGACGGCAGAGCTCCTACAGTTGTGCCCGCATATTGGAGGTGGGGAATGTGCCTCAGTGCCCACTGTGGCCGCCCGTGGGCCCTGGCAGCGCTGCACAGCCCCCTGCCTCGCCCGGTTTCCATCCAAGCATCTTCACAGAGACACAGCTGAGGAACACGTCAACACAACAGCCGGGCAGTGGCACAGGCCCAGGAGTGTGGAGGGTGCCTGGGGAGCCAGGCCGCGAGGGGCATGAGCAGTGCCTCTGCTGCCCTTCTCTCTGTGGCACCGCCCAGGGGCGCGGGACTAAGCAGTGGGAGGGGGCCGGGCCGTGTCGACATAGGTCATTGAGGACAAAGACCCAGGGGAAGGGATGTGAGGACAGCGGGCGACAGAGGGGCAGAGAGCGCGGGGAGACATCAGAGGAGAAAGGAAATTGAAAAGCAGCGGAGGAAGGACCAAGCGAGTGCGGAAGAGAGTGATTGTACCTAGTGTCATTTCCGAATGAAACGCTAAAGGCGAGGCAGGCAGGACACACGTACACACACAGAAGAGATTCATATGTCAGAACAAGCACTGTCGCCCGCCCGGCACAAGCTAACGGACACGGGCCACACACCACTCCAAGCACCACCCACAGTGTCTGCAGGGAGAGCCTGGGTCTGTCCCCTGCAGGACCAGGTGGGCATCCCTGGAGCTGCGGCCAAGACCTAGGGATGCCGTCCATCCTGGGGGGCCCCAAACACCCAGGCTCTGTAGGGCCACCCCTACAGTCCCCAGACTGTCCAGCTCCAAATGCCATGGCATAGCCACCTGGCCTCGGCCTGTTGGCAGACCTGTCTCCCTGCCTCAGAGCTGCCTGGTGGGTGACAGGAGCTGTTACTCGAGCGAGCGCATGCCTGAGGCCTGGGTGGCGCATGTTCGCATCACTGAGATTATTACTAGCGCCCCGCCCCGACCCCCAGGAACCGGGCCTGGGGCTGTGGGAAGCAAGCCCACTGGACACAAGGCCCCTCAGAGAAGCTCCTGGTGAGAGGCCCTTTGTCAGGCTAGATCGTGGCTTTGTCCTGATCGGACACTGGTGACCTAGAATGTCTCCAAAACCTGACTGCTGGGTCTCACAGGCAGGGCGGGTGGTGCGAGAGGCTCTCCTGGGCCTTCTACTGCCCCATCACCCAGGTGCCAAGAAGGCCAATCGGACCAGGGTCCAATCTGGCACAACCATGATGCTGCCCCAGTCCCCATGCCACCTCCTGCAGACCCCCCATCAGCGTCTCCATGTACCACGGATACCAGACCCTGGAGCCCAGGCAGGGAGGGTTCTGGACCCCGTCCTGAGCCCCAGTTCCTGAGGCCTCTGCAGAGGGGGTCTCCCCCAGACCCCAAGTGAGAGTCAGCAACGGCGCAGGTGTGTGCAGGGTGGGTAGGTGGCAGAGTGACAGCCACAAGGGATGCCCTAGGATTGCAGGGCACAGCATGGGAACCAAGGACAGCTGCCCTTCAGTCACACGGCAGGAACACAGACCCAGAGAGGCCACGAGGATGCCGCTGGGAGGCTGAGGAGGCCATGCCAGGACCCTCACTCATGAGAGCACAGCGTCCTCTCAGGACCTCTCTGGGCACCAGGCCACCCAGGAGGGAGCCCCATTCCACACAGCACCCCTCACTCTGCCCCACGACACATTCAGCTAATCCCCCAGATATTGCTGTCAGGAGAACCGTGTGGCCCAGACGTGGGGTCCCGGGCCTGCGGCACCAGCACGCTTTGGGAATGTGTTAGAAATGTAGACTCCCAGGCCCCATCTCAGACCCATGGGGACCCTCTCCCCACTCATGAGGCACGAGGCACTGTTTGCACTTTACCTAGAGCAAGCATGTCAAACTCGCGGCCCACCATGCAGCCCACAACGAATATTTTTGCGGCCCAGCCAATGTAACGTATGTAAGAAACGTTTTAATAAGAATTTCGTCACTTAATTTTTATAAAATCCTGTTATACATAATTATTAATAATGAACTACGATATTCGCTGACTGATTACTATAATCGTGTTGCATTCATTTCCCTTACGCGCAGGCGCACCATTTCTCTCCACTAATACTAGCAGTGAATATTTTAGCAGCCGATTGCCACGTCATTAGTCTTGTACTGACTTGTTTGGTGTGCGCAACAGGAAATAGTTCGCTTTCGGAGAAGGAGAAAATTAGCATTACGAGTTTTATTAGCATTACCAGTTTTATTAGCATTACGCTTATTAATTTGTGTAGTTATTCACTGTCTGGTAAGTTAATGTTCAAGAAAAATATTAATTTTTATTAAAATGTTCTATTATTTTATGTTAACAATGATTCATTTATTTCAGCCCTTTGTATTCAGCATGTCTCTATCAAAATAAACCTACGTTTCTATGAAAACTGAAGCGTTTGATTTTTGCGGCCCACATAAACTTAAACCTTGTTTATTTGGCCCGTGTTAGCCTTTGAGTTTGACATGCTTGAACTAGAACCTTCCTGGAGCCACCATGTTTGAGGGGGGTGGTGTCTAGGACCAGCCTGAGCACTGAGCTGGTTGTGGAAATGCAAACTTAAACGAAATATCCACACCCCCGTGCAATCACACTGATGGGCAGGAAGTTTCCACTCATCAAGAAACCAGCCCCTAAGCTGGGTCCCTTCCGGGGAGGAGCCGGGGCTGATGGGCTCCCACCAGCGCCTTCTGAGGACAGGGTGCAGCCGCCTCGGCCGGCCTGGCCCACCTCCAGGACCAGCTAGCAGGCCGCCTCCTCCAGCAAACCCTCCCGGCTGCCTGGGACAGGCAGGCCCCTGCTCCCCTCCTCGGTGCGGCCACCACCACTGCAGGTCGCTGCCTCACCCAGCCGGTGTTCCCAGGGAAGGGCCTGTCGCAGCCTCTGTCATTGAACAGGTGTGTGTGCACGCCCTCAGGGACACACCCGCAGGAACCGCTCACAGTACCCATCTGTCCAAACCATCACAGCCAGGACCCAACGGGGACACAGCCTCAGGCGGTCCGGCCGTGCCACCCTCCACCCCCATGTAGCTTACAGGCCCAAACATTCAAGCTGGAAGCCTCCGGCTACCCACAGGGGACCCCCAGGACCACCTCAAGGAACTCTGGCCAAACCCACCGGGACCCAGAACGTGACAGCCTTGACGCTTCGCTCAGAACAGACGGAGGCTGTCCAGCCTCAGGGGCCTCAACTGGGATGGAAGGTCCCCAGCCCAGGAACCTGTGCCTCCAGTGGTTTAACCCGAGACCACCCAAGCGAGTCCAGAGACTTACTGGGCCCTTCACAGCTGTCCTGTCCACTTACTTCCTAAAGGGTGTGTGGTGGCCACAGCCAGGTGAGGGCTCACACTCAGGGGTAGAAGGGGCAGAGGTGGAGATCTGGCGGGGTGGCTTCACTCCCTCCCTCTTTTCTCTGTCACCTTTTGGGGAGCCTGGCCAGCCAGCCTGCATGCAGAGCGCCCGCTGCTCTCCGGCAGGGTGAGGTCGGGCGGGCACAGGGGGGGCAAGGCTTGGGGTGGGAGGAGCGGGAGCCAGCCAGTGTCTACGGGAGGGCAGCCAACTACCAAAGCAGCCAAAACCGAGAGAGGGGCAGAGGGACTCAGCCAGGGGGGTGAAGAAGCAAGTTTAAAAAATCAAAAAGGTATTCTAAGGAAATAAAAGATGAAGAAACAGGAGGGAGAGGTGAGCAAGTGTAGAAGGAATCCAGGAAGTGGAAATTAAAACTCGGGGCTGGGGGGTGGAGGGGGAGCAGGGAGATGCTGAAAGAAAACCGAGGGCACAAATGATACCTAGGCATGTCCGAATCAAGAAACTGCCTGCAAAACACAAACAGTCACAGGTTAGTGAGGCGTTGGGGCCATGGGGGGTGGGGCAGCGGGCAGGGACAGCGGGCAGCGGCAGGGAGGGGGAGCTGCACAGAGAGAAGCCACCAAGCCGGCAGGCCCACTCTGAGCCAGGGAGGCTGCAAAGCGTGGGGCCTCAAGCAGCGAGGCCGGGGCTGTGGCAAAGCTCGTGGGCAGCCCGAGACCCAAAGCCTGAACTAGGTTGGGGTCGCCAAGCCTCAGCATCTGAGGGGAGAGAGCAGCCGGATCCACCACGGGCTCCGAGGATAACAGCCAGGGTCCCGGGAGAAGAAGGCCCTAGGGAGGGGCCCGCTGGCCTGGCCGGCCAAGCCTTAGCATGGTGCCTGCCTGGGGCCACCACTGAGGAGGGTCCCCTAGGCTTTTCCAGGACAGGGCGGGAGGTGGGGCCAGGCGGGCCAAAGCCAAGCATGGGGCCAGAGCAGCGATGGTCTACGCCGCCTTCCTGTCCTGGGACCAGGGCCCTGACCTCAGGCACGGGGCTGATGGACCCCAGAGCTGCCCTGGGGCTGCCTCACTCCCACAGCCTCCAGGTGCAGGACCAAAGCCCATCAGCAATGGGACTGGGGCCTCCAGGGACAGGAAGGACCTTTTAGCCAAAGCCCTGCTGGCTTGAGGTCCAGCAGCCTCCTAGGCTACCCTGGGACTTAGCCCAGGGCTGAGGCTCCCCAAGGTGCCCCCAGCAGCAAGAAGACCCACCAACACAGCCCTCAGTGCGGGCTGGGAGGCCTGGGAGGCACCCCCTCCACCCCTTTCCTTTGCCCCCCACTCCCTTCCTGCCCTAAGAATCTAGGAATTGCCTGAGGTCGGGGGAAGGCTGAGGTCCAAGGCATCACTCAGCATGACACACAGACCTCTTCCAGGGGCACATGCCCTCCCGTGGGGGTCGCGGTTCCCATGACCCAGACACAGCAGTCCACATCCGTGCAGGTGGCCCCCGTGTGGGTGGGCGCCCAGCCTTCACCGCCAGGTCCCGGGGTGCATTCGCACAGTGACAGGCCCACCCCACCCCCTGTCCGCCTCACCGTCCCAGGTGCAGCCCCAGCCTGCCTGTCATGGTGTCACCTCCACATGAGAACACTCCCCAGGCCCTCCCTCCTCTGGATATGAGTGCAAGGTGAGTTCCTTCTAAAAGGTTCCAGGGCAGGGCTGGAACTAGAGCTTCATCTGCCCCTGCTGGGGTCCCTGTTCCCCAATCCCCAAGTTGCTCATCTGAGGGACGGTCCCTCACAGCCCCCCTCTCAGGATGTCTGAGCCCGAGAGTCAGTGCGGGAGGCAACTCCCCAGGACCCTCTGTCCGTATAGACATGGGCGCTTCTACAATGTGGGCACCACCTCCCTCTGCGAGCACATGCAACCTTCACAGCCTCAAGGGCCCATGGAGACACCCACAGGTCGAGCTCAAAGAGTCAGGCAGGAGGAGGGCTTGGGAGCAGCCGGTGTGGGACTGGAGCACCTGTTCACCTCCCCACAGCCCTGGACAGCAGCCCCTCAGACCCAGCCGTGCCCGCCAGTGACTCCAGGGCGCTCTCTGCAATGTCAGTCGTGAACCCCCAGCCCCAGCTGGCTCCAGCGTCTCCCCGTCACATCCCTCCCACCCCGGCTGGTTTGTCCCCAAGGTGTCCCACACCCAGTCCACTGTGCCAAATGCTGGGACAGCCTAAGCTGTGAGATCTTGACCATCACCTGGGAGCCTTGACAGGAATGGCCCAGTGACAAGGAGTGACCGGTGGGCACACCTTCACCCAGGATGCTGGGCCGCCAACCCAGTGCGCCCCTGAACCGCCTCCAGGACCCCTGGTCGGTGTTCCCCTGCCAGAGGGCACACACCTGCCTCAGCAGCAAGGTCGGGGAAATATGGGATGCTTGTCCTCCCACCACCC